AAGTGATAGCGTATTTTTTTCAAATAGAAACAAATATCAAATTTATTGTCAAATTTTACAACTACAGACTTAAATGTTTTCTCGTCTTATATTCAAAAAATACAAACTAGAATACAACAATAGATATATAAATAAAACAACGAAATTAAATGTTTATACACGATAAAAGGATCGGGGTTTACAAAAACACGAAGTATTCTTCAAATCAAATTAAGATATTCTTGTCTTTGTAGATATTATTATTTCTAAGCACATATAAGAGAGTTCATAGCAGTCTGTAACAATTCCAGAGAACGTTTACAGAGCTGGATTGTCAAAACATTACAGGGTGAAATTATTTTCTTAAAGAGCAATAAGGCGTGTTCAGTGCAGATCCGACAGTTATAGAACATAGTTCTAAATCGTTTTTCACTAGTTTATTCGTGCATGTTAGAGGATGTTGTGATATTTTGATAAATGTAAACAGTAATCTCTTGTGACGTCAAAACGCAGAGCTAAGAATGTTTGATTATAATATAATTCGCTCTTTGATCAGATCATTTAATTAATCTATCATAAAACTTCCCAAACATGCAATACGTAATTTAGTTTTGTATTGATATCATTTTTACCTTTTACAGTAATCTGAAATTAATACCACTTTACATTTCTGTTTATATGATGTTACTTACACGAAATAAAATTCATTGCACTAACTGCATAGAGCATGCTGTATAGAGAAGGTGGTAGACTAGAAATTTCCCGTCTTTACGAAAAGTGAAGGCCAATTACGTATATGTTAAAAACCGGTCGCTGGCCTAGATGAGCTATTTCAAACCAAATGACATTTGAGGTTTTCACGGCGGTGAGTCTGAAGATGGCTGTTTTCTGGGTTGTAGCGCCGTGTAGTCTGGTAGAAGTTTACCGACGATTCTTAGGTCCTTAAAGCCTCCATCATAAGAGCGATGAGTAAATACCCAAATATGGAGGTAGAAAGCACCTAAGAAACGTTAAGATTTTATCAGACTAAACGAAGAACACTCCCCCAACCGATTTTTTTAAGATCCACTTTATTAAAATTATATTCTTATGATCGGGTTCCAAGTGATCTCCTTCCTTCAGGATTTTGGGTTAAAACTGTGAATGTTTTTCTCATTCCTCCATGCATGCTACATTCCCAGGCCATCTCATCGTGTTTAATGTGATGACCCTAACAATTCTGTGAATTGTACAAATTATGAAACTTCTCACAGTAAAATCTTTAAGCTTCATTTTTATTACTGTTTTTAGGGCCCAAATATTCTCAAACACATTCTTCTCAGACACCCTTAATCTGTGTTGCAGACGTTGGCAAGAAATGAGAATATAAACAAAACACTAAATTGTTAACGTACTGATTTTTATGCGGGAGTTAATGCGTTGTAACACGTAAAGTAACGCCAATGAGTATTTTCTGCATACTCTGCATTAAGGCACACTCTTACACCATACAAAACCAGAAATAAAATTCACACCTGCACACGTGTTTGTTTGTATGTATAAGATAAAATTTAACATGTTATCCCTTATATGAATCCAGAAGAACAACGGGGTACCTATATGTGAAAGAAACTAGATTCGCTGTGTTTGTTGTCCGAAGCAGACAACGAAACGTCGGTCCTATATCAGAGTACAGGTTGCTGAAATCGAAAAAGTGACATTCTAAATGCGTTCATTTTTCCGTTATGTAACTGAACCCAGTATGCGGTAATAATGGTGGCGTGAAATGTGAACACTGAAGATAACTTTCTTTCCTATTTCATAGTCCAAAAGTATATCTCGTTCCCCGGCCTGATATACTTGACCTCAACAAGTTAGGAAATGCATTAATACTGTAACAAATCTAGCTCTGTTATTGCCTATAGATTTCTAGAACGTGGAACTAAACTTTTGACCCTCTATTATAATAAATCGGGACGGACAAACTAGGACGTTCAGTAAAATAGTCGTGGTCTGACACCATGATAAATAGAATTTATAATAAAAATGAAGTTGCAACGTCTACAAAAACACAAAGTTTCATACGTAATTCTGTTCAGGTACAAAACAACGATTTAGTTAAAACTGTCAAATGTAATTTGAAATCGAAATAACGCAACAACATTTTCCCTAGTAATCGCATGTGCGAAATTTTATAAAATTATGTTACGTATGAGCAAACAGACCTACAAACTGACTGACTGAGCTACTTTAACAGGCTCACCGTAAGGTTACACACTTAAAAAACTATACACAACGAATCGAAACAGGCAACACGCCTGTCTGTAATATATCACTATTTAATATCCGTCTTGTTTTGCATGGGAATATTTAGAGCTCAAGATTCAACCAAAAATCAGTTCCGACCCTTTCCCCCCTGAGAATCATCCGTCATCCATCACCCCTCATCAATTTGCCATTTCTTCCGTCCCCATTCGTTCCTGGCCCAGTGATCGCTCCCTTGCGGGTATCAAGCAATCAGGACAACGAATTAAGGGTAGACGTATCAACCAGCTTTACAAAACAAAACACGAAAAATAAAATAAATGCTTTGCTTTTAAAAAACACCACACAACGCAACTTTAAAGTTATATTTTCTTCTACTTTAATATATAATTTATATTAATCGTTATTCGAAATCTTTCTGAAAAGATGCACTTAACACTTTTATATTTTTTTATACTTAAGGCTTTCTACATGTAAGACTGCATTCTCTTTATGGATTGCTTACAAGATTAATGTTGAAATGTAGTTTCACTGATAGAATGATCTTTTAAAAGTAAATTATTTGAGTTCCTCATCTCTTGGATGGGGCAGAGGTTTTCCAAGTCTGAAACAATATGTTGTATCATTTATCAAGTCCAACATTAAAAACAGTATATGTATGCAAAGCATCGAACATCTTAAAGTTGAGAATTCTTGTACTGAAACAAAGGCCCTGTTTAACTCTACATGTTACCCACTAGGTCATCAGATTACACTAAGATGATCAAACATCCTAGAATTTTATCAAAATCCCAATTCGTCAACATTGGTGCACTAGTTAAATCATACCCAGTATTAGCTACATAATATTTAGAAAATTCTTACTGTCACTCAGTTCATGATATATCATCTTCTCATCTCTTTCTGAGATTACAATATACTCAATTATAAACTTACATTTCTTTATGTGGTTGTGAAACATGACCTCTCACCGGAAATTAATAAAATATTGAGGACACCTGACAGCAGATGCTGAGGCCAATATTTCGACTCCAGAAAGATGAAGTGAAACAGGGTTAAATAAAATTACGTGTTGAACATTTTCATAATTTGTGCCCTTCATCAAATATCATTACAGCGATAAAAGTCTATTAAAGATGGGCGGTACGTACAGCTCGCATAGGGAGACCAAAAATTCCCACATTATAATCTGAAGGAGTTAAAGAAAAAGATCACTCGGAAATCTAGACGTAGAAGGTGGAATAATATTAAAATTGATCTTAAAGAAACAGGGTGTAGGCCTAAGGATTCGTTTGGATCAGGACAGAGACCAATGGTACGCCCCTGTGAACGCAGTGATGAATCTTTGGGTTGCATGAACAGATATTTTCCTTAACTAGCTGAGTAACTATCAGCTTTCCAGGAATGATTGTACGTACACATGAGCAAGCTGACTATTATGATTAATCCCTATGAGTTGACAATATCATAACCTAGCAGCGAAGGAGTTAGGAAAATTTTCGGCCCGTTCCGACCTCAATTGTGGAATAATCTCTTTAACACTGGAGATGGCGACTAAAAAGCATCTGCTGTAGAAAAATAAATAGTGCAGGAAGGAAGTTGATTTGTAAGATCTCGTAAAAATATCCACAGGACATGAAAGGTTACACGACTAGGCTAATTTTATTAAAAAGGTAACATAAGCTGCCTTAATGTGATAAAATATACATACGGTATTTATATATATATCAACTGTTATAGCAATTAAATATGATCCGTAACGTTCGGTATTCGTTAAGATAATGACCCTGTAAATAACACCGAGATAATAATCAGTCACACTAAATTCAGGCCTAGTTTTCTAAAAAATCAGTTTATAAGTAGTACCATGACAAATCCTGTGGTTGGAAACGTCACCCTGTAAGCTTATAGGGAAACCAGAAAGCTCAGCTCCCAACATGATGCACCAACATTAATTTAATCAATACTTTACAATAATAAATTAGTCAATTAAGGCTTTGACCGGGATGTTCTTTTGTTAAATCTTATGTGGTACCGCCTGATTCGACTTCTAATGGTTAAGTGAACTGTTTTCTTCGCGGTACGGTCTGGATTCGTAAATATTATGAAGACGAGCTTCGGCTTCAAAGGGTTAACCAGCTGATTTTCGTAATGGTGAGGTGTAGTGTTTTCATCGCGGTACGGACTGAATTCATAAATAATATTCAGACGATCTTCGGCTTCAAAGGGTTAATATATCAATTTATTATTTCTAGTCATAGAAAAATAACATCAACATTTAATTAGAACTAAAGATGCTATCATAGTTCCCGTGAAGACTGGTACACTCAATGTAAAAGCAAAAGACTCTTCTTGTAATATAAACTGTAAACTCAATTTCCCTCGAATTTTCTCGAAGACAGACGATTTAAATGGACGTAGGACATTTCAAAACTGTTACCAGGTTTCGTCAGGCGTCGTAAATGTTTGAAGCTGTACAAAGAATCCACAAGTGAAAGTTGTATAAGAAAGTCCAACCCACCGATATAAAATAACTTTAAGACGCTGATGTCTGGGTTTGTGATCCAGCCTCCCCCCACATTCTCCGTTAAACAACACTGCCGTCCCGATGCCTACATCCCATTGGTCGACGCCTCATCTACAAACTCCTCCCATTATCACAGCATCCATTGGTCGATGGACCAAAATCTCCGCCCTCATACAAGCTGCTTAGATGGAATGGTGTATCATATTGGATATAAGCTTTAGAAAAGAGAACAGTTGATGCATTTCTTTGATCTAGAAGAGGGTTGCAGTGACCTGCAGCGATGCACAGCGAAGTTGTCTGCACGTGGCATCCAACTCTGCACCGAGTGTAGTGAGGTGAATTATGTCGCAAAGGAAGTGGACAGGATAATTGGTCAGGTGCGAAGTTCTCTACTGGACTGACTTCGTGTGAAGTGCGCTGACTTCTAGCAGACTGAAGTCATATGACGTTCAAGGTACACAAAACAGAAGAAACGGGGTCAGAATCCTGGTACTGGCAGAGTTCATCCACACAAATCTAAGGTAAACTAACACAGTCACACGTCAAACACTAAGTGTCACCTATTAATACATATCCCACTTGCTTTAAAAACCAATAAGACTTAATTTTTAATTTATGGGTTTCATATGATTGGCACTAAAAACAGAGATTATAAACTTAACAGTTCACCATTACAGGAATAAAATTGGTAATGCTGTTTGTGTTTACTATGAGGTACGGACTGAATTCTTTATAGAAGAACTTCAATTTCAAATGGTTCATTTAAATCCCACATGTATTTTACCTTGCCTGTCAAAGAAACACTAGTTCTTAGATCACTTTAAGAGGCTGTTTCAACTGAAAATGATAATGTAGGATGATGAAGAATAATTGATAGGTTAGGATATGAAATGGGTCTATAAAAAACCAGCCTCCGGCTTATAAAAATACCATGAAACCACCAAGTTGATTTGTAGTTAAAATGTTAACTTTTATAATAATTAAACATTTTCCTTGATATTGCATACCTGGATATGGGGAAATGGTATTCCTACAGCATAAGCTAGAAAAGCTGTAAAATACATTTCTAAGTGTTTGGTTACCGTAAAGTTTGACGGTTAATTTACACTATAAATATGTTAAGTGCTGGAGTCATAACTGTTACAAATTCATTAACGGCTATTTGTGTTTAACAGTTTCAAAAATGGTGGGAAGGACCTATAACACTTTAGCATTAAATTTACTCTCGTCAAATTTATGCCGCACGTCACAAATTTGGTCTCCTTTAGTCGTTTTGACGTAAAGACCGATCATCCTTATCCGGTACGCTAGAGATTTATACAAAAACACACATAATTTTTACTGCAATGAAATTATTATTTTTGGGAAATTTTGTATTAGGATCTATGAAACTATAATTAGATGTAATAAATGATAGTTTTAGTGGCAATATATCTAAATATTACACGTTAAAATAAATCATATTCTGAATTATTTTGATACGTTCATGAATGAAGATAGAGGCAGCATGACCCTCAGAAACGTCGGCTAATATGCACACTAGAATACAGTGATACAATCTAGAAGACTACAACATATATTTATGCCTTTATAAAAGCAATAAATCTTACTTTACAAGCTACGTTTATCGGTATGAAGTCAATACATTAAATTCTCTTATTTACCTAGAGTGTCAATTTTTTGAATGAGAATATGTAATTAAAACTGGAACATTTTCTCAGGTAAAATATGTAACTAATCGTCATCGTTTAACATGTTTTGAAAATTGACAAAAATTTAAATTCACGAAGAAATTAAGAGAAGATTAATTTAGGGGGAAGCTTGCTACCATTCAGTTCAAAATTCTTATCTTAAAATCTCCATTAGAGAAACATAAATAATTTACGTCTATAAAACTTCGTATGTACACGTTGTTTTGTATGGGTTCAAACTTCGTCTCTCACCCGAAATAATTAACACAGATTGAAGGTGAGAAGACATTATAAGGCCATCTTAATTTTCCTTACGTTTAATACTAAACAAAAATTTTACCCAGCGTGTGACAGGATTTTTGGGTGTTTCTTTGTGGTGTGGTTTCATCTGATAACATAAATTAATCCATCGATACAACAGGTACTTAACGAACTAAAACAAAAAGTTATGGGAAGAATAAATAAAGCCGACTTTCTTATCGCACAAATTTCTAGTCCAACAAATCTTGTATCGTTTGAGATATATTCAGTCAATTCAAGTTTATAATCAAGCTATAAAATATTAATTCACTCGTGGTTTAGCGTAGGTATATCGTCATGAGATTGAATCGTTCTCGTGTCGGGATACTTTCGTTGTTTGCAAGTTTCAGCTTAATGTCATTAGTATTTTATTTTAGTTTAATATGTCGCGAAATTATGACTTTATTTTGAGCTATTTATTTCTTATTAATGTCTTCAATTAAAAATAAACTGACATTTTATCATGGTCAGTGTTAGTATTCGTGTGCTTAAAAGTGAAATTAGAGAATTGTCTACTTTCAGCGTGAGGAGGGACTTAAGACATTTTCAGCTACGTACGTTACTGCTCCAAATTAAATGCAGATTTGTGGACATTTTTGGCAAAACTTTGTCTTTTTTGAGCACACTTTCTCGATACAACAAAGTGATTAGATTGATTATATGTACCAGTATTGATCGATTTTTCTTTTAACTTTTTTTCTCTTCTCTTTTTTATTTAATCTTCTTACCGCTGACTCCGTCATTGGTTCCTGTAGCTGATGAGTCAGCACGTTAAAATAAAAAATAGGTTTCGTATTGCGAGGAACTTACTTCATAACTAGGTGTAAAGACTTTGTTTCCTTTAATTCTTTCATATATAACCTGAAATATCGCATTGTCTCGGTGCTTGAAATATTTACAATATATATTCATATTTTACATATATTTCCCTCGATGATCACTTAGTAGTTACTACAAAACAAAGTTAAATTAACATTTCGATCCTGAGATGGCTGTATTCTGGTTTATAGCGCCGTGTAGTCTGGTAGAAGTTTACCAAAGTTTCATAGGTCCTTGCTGCCTCTATCATCAGTGTGATGAGTAAATTCCGTCCTTTATTCATTTCGCTGTTTTAAATTCTACAAAAATATAAATCTTTTAACAAAATCTTAGCCATTCTGTTGCTGGTGTTGCGCCCACCTCAGATTTTCGTGAATCCGTCATGTCGGTGCTACTGATTATAATAAATTTACAAGTAAAAACGTACTGGCGATCTTCATTGTCACTATGTCCATACCAAATTTTGCGCAAATCAGTCAACTGTTCACGAGATGGCAGAAGGAAACTTACATGGCGAAAGATTTAATTCTAGTACGCAGAATTTTTGAGTGCTTTGTACCTAATTACAGTATAATAATGAATACCACTGAAAAAAATATTTTACGAATCGTCTAGACCTGAGATTGCATATCAAACCCTTAAAACTTTATAAAACTTCGTCCTTCAACAATCGTCCGTATCACATTTCTCATATCATGTAACTAAACGCTACGTAAGGTATGTCGTTTATGCAGGTTAGTGTAAAAACAAAACAAGAACATAAAACATCACGATTATATGATTAATAGGTATGGTCCCTATTCAGCGAGGTCCCAAATTCGATTTTAGATCCAAATTTTGAATTCTACCAGATTTCTTCATGTCCTTCCTCAGTATCTTCGAGAAATAATACGACAGTAGGCCTGTATTAAAATATTTCATGACCGCTATCTGCAGCTAGCCAACCCTTACATTTGATAAAGCCTGGTTAAATAAATTAGAATAAAGCAATAATAAACTAACGAAACTAAGACGATACTAGGCCGCAAAGTGGAGCCAGTTTGGTCCACGTTCTTCGTAGTTACACATATCATTCCAAAACCTCTTGTTTTTTGGTTAAACTAAGCTGTTTGGTTGACCTTCTAGAATAACATAAATTACATGTAATAAGAGAAGGTGATTAACGAAGAAAATAAAAGAGAATGGAAGATTGCAAAGGAAACTATTTGCTTGAACACAACGACTTTAATTATTATGTAGGACTATTTATTTCACTTCATATAATGCAGTTTCATACCGAGTTTTCCGGAAATTTATCTGAAATAGAACATCGCAAATGGGAAAGGAACAGGGGACTGGAAACAAAAAATAAAATAAAATAAAACCAGAAAAAAGGCAAGAAGCAAGAGAGAGGAAAGATAAAATAATTATAAATGTGTACTGTTCAGTTTGTTTATAACATACGTACTTGAGATCTAACTATTTAATACTTTATGTAAGTATCCATTCGGTACGTACGTATTACTGTAACAGAAAAGATGTGACTGACGTAAAAAAATTATAAACTCAGACTTCACTTACAGCGTTCCACGATTCACTTAATTTATTACTAAAATTTTCCGGTTTGGTTACAAAGATTGTTTCAACAGCTCAGATAAGGGAGATAGCATTAATGTCTTCCAGATCGTCGGACTGGAATAAAAATTTCAGTTAAATTAAGAGGAAGTGAGGTACGTTTAGAATACTGTTACTTTTAAAATTGTAATGGCAGTTCTAAAAATAAAAATTGCTACAGAAGTTTCGACTAATAAAGGAAGAGAAGAGTTTTATTTACGGTATAAAATTGAATAATAACAGAACTAATTATTCTAATATATCATTTTTTGATGCTAAATGAGTATAAATCATATTAAATGCAAGTAACACACGACAGTGGCAATTAGGCGAATCTGGAGTCATAATAAAGTAAATTTAACTGCAGATATCCAAAATTAATTTCAGGAAACTTATTAAATTAAAATAAATAAAATTGTAATTATGTCCCTAGTCGATCACAGTGTCGTGGGTCTTGTCCCTCGAACACGGGAGTCGTGGGTTTTTATCCCAGTCTAAGGACGGGCTCATTTCCGATTTTTTTTTGTTATTGTTGTGTGGACAAAGGCCTTGCCGCGGACTGAACCCCTGTCCTTGAAAAGCTAATAGTTCATCATCTATTCAAGAATTCTCTATTTTTTTCAGAATCCTCCACAAGGTTACACCACTGGTCACGATCCTAAATCCACTTTGTACTCTCCCATCGTACATATTTAAAATCCATTTAATTTCATCCTACCACCTATGAGGTGCGATCGGAAAGTTTCAAGACTGCGCCTATCATTATCTCAGGTATTAAATTCATCCATCACCCTCGAAGTAGTTTCCCTGGGAGTGAACACAACGATCCCAGCGCCGCTGCCAAGCCTGGAAGCATCCCTGGAAATCTTTCTTTGTCAGCCTGTCAAGCACCATCTGCGATTCTGCCTGAATCTCTTCTATCGTCTCAAATCTCCTTTGTTTTAGCTGAATTTTCATCTTTGGGAAGAGGAAGAAGTCACACGGAGCTTAGAAAGGAAGTTGGGGTCGGTTCTTGCAAGATCTTTGAGCTCCTGACAAACGAAAAGTCGATTCTGCTTCTGGTCCTCAGACAGGATGCGTCGCATGTGGAGTTCTTCCTTTAGAATCAGCTGACAGGCCCCATAGCCTATCCCAACAATGTCGCACAAGTCGTTGATGGTAAGACGTCGATCTTCGTGAATGGCCTGCCGAATCTTCCTAACATTTTCGGGCGTTGTGCTCGAAGATGGTCGGCCAGAACGCTCGTCATCATCGACAGAGGTTCGGCCATTTTTAAAACGTGAATGCCACACAAAAGTTTGCGGACTCCCCAAATGCTTGCTTTAGCATTTCATAGGTTTCCGTAGCCGTTTTGGCGAGTCTTTGGCAAGAGATTCAGGCAGAATCGCAGATGGTGCTTGACAGGCTGACAAAGAAAGATTTCCAGGGATGCTTCCAGGCTTGACAATCTTCCAAGTGCTGACTTGCCCTAATGACTCTCATCTAGAATTTTGTATGCATTTCTCATATATTCCATTCTTGCCACATGCCTCGCCCATCTCATTGTACTGGGCCTATATAATTCATGATTATGTTTATATATTTATTAGAAATTCTTTCAAATTTAAATAGTGTATAGGCGAATTCTGTATCGATAAACATCAGTCGATTTGAGTTACACGAAGAATTATAATGCAGATCGGCCTAATTGTTATCTCATGAATTTTCGCTCCATAGAATATCAAAGTATATTCGACATGGCTTCTAATATCTACGGCCCGTAATCATTTAGGGCAAGAAAAGACGAGAGGTTAGAAACCCGCTGATTTTATCACTGAAAAATAAAATAAGTACGATTGAGGATTATATTTATTTTCACGTTAGTAGAATGGCAAAAATTATTTATATTACATTTATTCTATTTACACCCAAGTTTGCGATTCCATTCAATCGAGTTCTTGGAAGGTGTTTCTGTGCAACGGTCGGCCATTAAGATAGTAGATAATTTGTCACTGTGTGATTCCAAATCTGCAACTGTCATGCAGATAATGAATGTTATGAAACATATTTTTATCCACATCCAAAAACAATCTAGTATCGAAACTATGCATTTTTTAAACGAATCATATTTTGCAGAAAATCAAACGCTTACTTTTCACCGTTTCTTCTCACAATTCAAAATTTCAGGAAATTTTACATTTCTAAATCGGAGATCAGAATTAATATTCAAAAAGTAACATGTAAGAGAAGTGGCTGTTTATACATCATTATTTAGTGCTCTTTACGCTTTATTGAAATCGAAGAACACTATATGGGTACGTTCTGTAAGTCTGTCTGTCGCATCCTTCATTAGCATAAATCGCTCTAATCATACGAACTATTCGTTCTACCATATAAATGAAGAACGGCTAAACGGATATTTATCAAATTTGGTATAGACGTTATTAAATTTGGTATGGAAGTTCGAACATTTCAGTTTAATACAAATTCATACTGTTACTTTCTCGCAGACGTAATGCCAGCGAGACCGATGCTCGAATTTCTGAGGTGGGACGAAAATCTTCTGAGATATCTGTAAAAAGTACAAATTATAAAATTTGGCCCACTTCTATTTCTCAATAATTGATCGCCACATACTCAGATAACATCATTATAAATTCTCCACGTGACAAAACAAACTTTATTCCCGCACAAAGAACAAGTAAAATTACAGTGTTTCTATAAATAAAAGCTAAATTATTTGTTCTATGTACAGACATAATAACGACATTAAGCCGAAAACATTAATACAAAACAACAGCTTTCTTCAATATTAAGATCTTGTAAGACTTTGTATGATGCGAGACTAAATTATCAAATATTCACGACGGTGACACCCCCCCCCCCCCCCCCCCCCCACGGAAGGCGAGAACTCAAATTTTTACCTCCGGACGCCGCGGTCGAATGGTTTTATCACTCGTAACTTGTTTGATTAACATCGGACGTTCATTTTTCAGTACTGCGGTGCCCATCAGAATGACTATGGATATTAACACGCAGCAGTGCGTACGTGTTGAACCCAGCACGGCCATAAACAGCAGTAGCAGTTCTACCACAACGACGAGAAGTTCCGCGTCTCCGGACAATAACCGCTCGCCAGCACCACCTTTCACACCCTCATACTCTCCCAACCTGCCCACCACAACGACCACAATCCCCCCTCGAATTACCAAGAGAAGTTTTGACGTTGCATTTCTCATGGCTCCAGATGATAATTTGACCAAAAAGCAGTTACAGCAGGAGAAGCAACTCAGACTAGTGACTACAAGCAGTCTGATGAACCGTACGTCACCGATAGTAACGCACAAGACATCGCCGCGTTCATCGGTATCCCCACATGACATTGTATTCAACAGCCACAATCCATTGCTAGGTGGCATCACAGAATCTACAATACCAAGAACGTATTCGGAGCATGCGCTGTTAGGAGACATAACTGATTCCCCAGTGAGAAACAGCAGTCAAATATCTGGTGGAATTGAAGTTATCCCAAGACAACACAATCAGAGACTTATGATAAGTACACACCAAAGTAAGGTTGGTTTGTTCGAGCATTCAGGTCTCTTAGTTCCAAAGACGATTTATAATCATGAGGATCTCGTTGACAGAGTTAATAAAAGTCATTTTAGCGGGAGCAAAAATCAAGACTTGAACCTTATCAACATGAGCAGTACAAGATCCAGTTTCCACCATGACGATATTCTAGAAACGCCCAGTAAAAGCCATAGAAATCAAGATATAAATTCTGCAAGTAACACGTCGACAGGGTTAATGATCAGGAGTGCGTTTACTAAAGTTACATCTTCAAAATTTGATCCTAGTAACCTTTTAAATATGCCATTACCAACGTCTCCTTCTTCAGTGTCCCCCATATCCGAAGGCCTTTCACCAGATCATGTCACGTATCAAGGGAGTATGAGTCCTCCAACACTAGGGCCTGATCCAACATCCCCTCTCCCTCCACACTTCATACATCCAACCCCCAAACAATTTCAAAGTACTATGCCATTATTAAATCCCAATCAGCACCTCTCACCTAACTCTCTCACCGGTTCATCTCCCTCAGGAGGAAAGACACTAACATCGTACTCATCAGCAGCATTTCTACTCCAAGAGAATAACAGCACGAAACATATCAAAACCAGTAACGGACTGTGTAGCAGTGGAGTTGCTGTGGGTTCCAGCAATGGAAATTTCCGAAACGACATCGATAGTTATCTTATGAAGGCATCGATAACAGCTACCAACCATCATCATCTCTACAGTACCAATGATAAGGAACTATTGTCTGGGTTCCCCAACACCGGATCCAAGTTACGACCCACCGGCATGCTCTATCACCACCCAGAGTCCGTGGCAGCTTACTCAACTCTGGCCGCAGCTGCATATCCATTCGCTGCAAATTTCTCTTCGACAGCAGCCGAACTTCTAGTCACACGCGCACCTCCACCAAGCCTTCTGACAGCAGCGACAAACCCCGCAGCAGCATCACTGCTACCGCCATCATTCGCTGCTCTATCACTACCTGCGCAGAACGTATGCGCAAAGTGCAATATTAGCTTCCGTATGACATCAGACTTAGTGTATCACATGAGGTCGCACCATAAAGGCGATCATATCAACAACGACATGATGAGAAGACGACGGGAACAGGATAAATTAAAGTGTCCAGTATGCAGCGAGAGTTTTAGAGAGAGGCATCATCTCACGAGGCACATGACGGCGCACCAGGACAAGGAGGGAGACATGATAGATGAGACTGAGGATGTTCAGAGGAGCGACGCCGGAGTGGAACCTGCAGGAAGGCGAAGAATGACATCTGCGTTGATAGTAGCAGGTCACAATGCGACAGCTAAATGACAGCGACCACTGATAAGACGTCATCAGCAACAAACGAGAAAATTGTTCGGAACGTCTATGAATCAGCAGGATTATATACTGGGGAATTACCGTCAACAAAATCAGTGACAAATGAAAATAATTGGAACAGACATTTGCGTTAAAAACCTGATACCAAATGACATAAACGGATGTTTCATAAGTCTACAAGAAAAATCAGACAGTAGATTGTTCTACTTTAAAGTCAACTCATAAACACACTCTACTGCCGACAAAAAACACTTTGAAGATAGCGCCATTGCCCTGGACGATTTGTGTCCATATCCTTCATGGAATGGCAATCTGACAGAAAATGGAAGGTCAGGGGGTTAGTTTACATTTCAAGTGACGAAATGTTACGCTAATAAAATATCTTAAGGAAACTTCCCAAATAAGTTAAAGTGATAACATCTTAAACCAAGCTTATGCATAACTTTAATTGCTTTAAAATTGTTACCATAGAATTTCAACCTCATAGAAGTTAAAATTGGTATTGTAGAACTGCAATGTCAAAAATCATGAATTCATCAAATCTACTTTCACACTTTAAAACTCGACATTTCTTTATGATATTCGTAATACTTTTATCGAACAAAATCATCAGTGAAATTAAACTGACTACCAGGCAAAAGATGTCAAAAATACCTTTTTGTGGAAGCCTAAAGTTCATTACCGTGCTCAAAGGTACTCATTACTTATAAATGCTGAGCCAAATTAATACAGTTTACAACTTCATGTTGTAATTGATTTTTTTTAATATTATAATCCAATCTATGGTCCTTCCTTCAGGTTTGTACATTGTCTCTTCCAAAACTTTAAGTCGTGTAAAAAAGAATAGCCTAGCCCACCATATCAACAGCGTTTTGGAATTATTTACGTACTTGAAAATGTTTCTTAATTAAGTAAAAAAACAATTGTTAGGAAAAGTAAACCTTTATCAGCCCCCCAGGACTTCCATGTTCCTTTTCATATAATTCATCAGGTCAGTGCAATTCCAAACTGAAAAATTAAAAGGGCCAAATCGTTCAGAGGTCAGAATCTGAGAAAAATCACTTCCAGGTCAAAGTCGGATTTTAGATAATCGCAGATCTGAGACAATACAAATGTTGCAAGAACTACAAGCCACACCTATCAGGTAAATGATTAACAAACTAAATATACTCTTTGATTGTTTAACAACGCTGTTTCAACTGGAGAGTATAATATCGCGTAAAATTTGTTAAACAATTTGCAGTTTTAAAGTACGTATGGATTCGGTCGTGACTAAATATATAAAATACGATCGTATGATTTCCCATTTTGTCACATATACTTCAGTCCAAACTTCAGCAATATTCATAGAAATAAATTAGTAGGACAGACTGTACAAAATACAATGCCAGAAATATAATCACGTTCATTATAGAAATAATTAATTCTTGTAAAGGACTAATTAATCTATCACGTTTACCCCACCTTCCTTTGATGAACGTATTGGGTTAATTACTGTAATCAATCGAGTAAATTAATTTCCAGTGAGACGAAGTCTTATTGCGAAATTACCGTTTGAATTTAATACTGAGGGATACTAAGTAAAATCCAAATGATTTTATCCAGGCTGGGTCGACGGTTTAAAGAATTATAAGAGGCCAACAAACACCTTCATCTAATTTCTTACTGGAAACAACGCTAGAGGAAACTAGAGTGGTATTTTACAAGCTCAAAATTAAAGTTATAAAATTCACTCAGACAACACACAGAACGAAGATTTCAGGCCAACATGGCGGTTCTCTGCTAATACGTATTATATTTATGGCTTCTAATATTCTTCATGTTGGCTCTACTGCCGACGAATAAGACTCTGATACTGTGTAAATGTTGGCTGTAGTGCCAACATTTCGGATACGCCATCTTCACCTTGAAGATGTTTTATCATCTATAACCCCACAAACAATATCGTGAACTTTGTGTTGTTATAAGTAATTTATAAATAAAATGACGAAGTGGTAATTAGAACATTGCAAACCACATCCTTCCGTCGCTTTTCACCCTTCATCGCCACCCTAGCTTCAATCAACCCTTTATATCCAATCTCCCTACAGCTATTCTCACATACAAACCCTTATTTAATCTGTGTGTTCGAAAACTGTTAAATTAAATGGACCGAAAAGGTGCGATAACACCCGAATAATCCCGATTGTTCCCAGATGTATAGTTAACTGTGTTATAGGTCGATTATCAGACGTACAGTCGAAAGCAGAAAATTGTATGCAGAAAGTGTGAAAATTAAGAAAATGTATTTAAATGTATGAATTAATTATGTTGTAATACCAATGTAAAATGTGTAGAAAATTGTCTGTATGTACATAAGTGTCATAATTATCTGTTAATTATTCTATTCCTTAGGGAGTATCCTTGATTTCGCTTTCCTTGAATTTTCTTCGATGTTTTACGATAAAGTTGTGCCTGTGTTATGCTGGAAAAGATAAGCCAACCTGCATTGTAAGATGTATTATAGAACCTGATATCATTAAATTATTCATACAAAGTGATTTTTGCAAAACTGAATATTTAAATTTAGAGTTCATTGACACTGTTAAAATAGTTATACCGTACGAATTAAATTATAAATCCCGTAAAAATAAAGTTTATGTAAATTAACGTTGTTATTTTAATAAAGTGTGCGCTAAAATAAACCGCACCATGGAAATATAACTCATTGTTAACAAACACTTAATATGGTATTGATCTCCTATCAATTTTTGAATAAAAAGAATATGTAATGAACCCTGTACCTGCCCACTGAGTCAGAATTATTTTAAAATTTCTTGAAGATCAACGAACAGGTTTTTGATAGTGTCTTGAAATGTCTGTTATAAGATGTGAATAAAAAGTGCATCCAGGTTTTCACTTTCAGAATTATACTGAAACGCAACTAAATTTGGCATCCTTAACAAATGACAAAGCCTCTTAAAGACATGTTTCTTCATTAACAAAACTTTCTGTATTAAATATATTTTATTACAGAATATAATTTCATCATGTCTTCCCACAGACTTTGAAAGAGATTTCTAGAAGCAAACATTTCTCTACTCTGAATTGAGGTGTAAATGGCTTTGTAGAATACATGAGTTATTCTATTTCCAAACCCAAACCTATATTCTAAACAATTCTATTGTAGCCGTAACAAAATTGAAAACTTCAAGGTCACAGTCAAACTTCACTTAAGTAACATCGTCGTTTCGATACATTGCAAGTTCTGAACTCCGCTGTTAGTGTTGCAACTTTGACCAATGTTGCCGTGACCTTGAAAAATGAAATTTGTGCGAAATCTAAGTTTTTACTGTTTTACTCTCTGAATCACGCCAACTTCCAAGCGAAGGTTAGTCAAGACAAATTACGGTTAGATAGTGTGACGCGCTGCCTCCATCATCAGGGCGATTACTCTGGTGGTAGAGGAAGCAAGGACAACTGAAACGCCGGTAAACTTCTACCATACTACACGGCGCAACAACCCAGAAGACAGCCATAGTCTTAGAAGCCTATATTTGTTTAAATCTAGTCAGTCTAATCACAATAAAATTCCTATTAAATATTAAAATATTACCATAATTAACATTTAAATATTTAAAATATATTAAATGATGTTCTCTATCGAAATGTTCGATTTACATTAGATCATCACTTTTTTACACGACATGTTTCAGTTCTAAAAGAACCATCTTCAGGTGTATAAAATTATATAAACTTAAATATAATTTCTTAGAAGCCTATGTTTCACCGCCTCAGCTATGTTACTACCCCATTTGTTATTACATCCTGACAGTTCACATGCGACGTATGGGTGTTACTCATTGATAAAGTTTCAAAGAAAGGTTGATAATTCATCTAATATTTACTGTTGCTTTTAAATTATACAAGTAAAAGCCTAATGAAACACAACATTTAAAGGTTCTTTTACAATAAATAGATGCATACAGAAAGACCATTCTGAGAATCCGACAATCGCTTTACTGGTTACGAAATTCAGTTTTAACTTCATATAAATCGAGGTTGGATTACTGTGTTCAGAAGAATCAGCCATAGATCCCTATTCTGAACCATAATAATCCAATACACCCTCACACACTACCTGCCTAATATTCATTTTAATATTATACCATATATTCCTCGGTGCCCTAAGACGTATCTCAAGCTGTCTCTTCCCTTTAAGTCTTCACACTAAAATAATGTATACGTGTTGGTTATATCATATTTTCTATAGTTCCATTATTTCATTTTACATTAATTTGGTTAAGCCAATGTATCAGCCCAAGTCTCAGGCCCTTTGAATAATTATGTAACAAATTACAATATCGAGGAACACTGCTTTTCTGTTGTTCGCAACAGCTTACTCAGTATAATCTCAATTATTTTCCATATCAGGTCGAAAGTGTTTAACTCTAGCTCGATTCCGTTGAAAGTGGGAATTAAAACGCATCTTGTATTATACTTTCTAAATGTCCTAAAACGTGCAACAATCTTGTGTACATATTTAGAGATAAAATGCAAGTCAGGTCAAAGTTAATCCAATGTCTCAAGGTGAACGGAGGGGTGTGGGGGGGACATAAGCCACTGTATCAAGCTGGGATTCGTAAAATAAAATTCCGCTATTAACGTGTGTTTTGTGCTACCATGACACAGTGTGAATGCCAATAAACAATAAACCTAGAGTTCTATAAAACAATTTTAGTATTATCATTTTTTTCTCACCTTCATTTCAATGACTTTACACACCGAAAACATTATAGGCTTAAGTATTTAATGTCCATACTATAATGTTAAAAATATTACAACAATTTCGGACTCAGATTATATTACGAGCTCTTGTGAACATGGCAATGAACATTCGCTCTGAATAACAGACGATAATACGTATCTTGACCACGTGAACGTATATATGCGTCTCAATAAGGATGATACAAAACAGACAAATTTATTGGAAGTTCTTCGTGTTCTAACATTATATATATATAATGATTCAGGACAACATGAGTCCATATACGACATTGAATTATAATTCTACATAAAAAAAGATGTTAGTGAAATATGATTTAATACTAGTGCCTATTAGTATTGGGGAAAAATAAATCAAAGTTAAAATAATAACGTGTTTGCTAGCGTCTTTGCTGTTTTGATTTCTGTTATTTAAAATTATTCTTCGATCCGCGTGGTTGTGCAAAATGACCGATTCAATTTACATGCACCATTCTGCAGGTTGAAACGTTATAATAGATATACAACAAACAAAGAAACAAACACAAACAAACAATCCAAACATCAACTGATCTCGTCCGTCGGTTAGCATAAGAAAAAAGGGACGTAATGTCAGTAGAAGTCATTTGTCTCTTCATGATACAGGAAGAGAGCGTGAGGAAAGACAATATTTGTAACTGAAATTTTCAGGCGCTTCTGACGTAGAATAAATGTTGGTCTTTGCAGATTTCTGGGTTACTTCATCACTTATTACATGCCATTTAAGTCCCAGATTGTATGGTAACGAGGCCATGTGAAATGGAACGAAGTGACATTTGTAGCACTAGAGTGGAGAAAAGTTCATTTCCATATGTAAACCAGTTGATGACTCGTAAAAACAAAGGAATTAGCAAAATGCCTACGACGACACCACACCGAGCCAGACAGTTAAACTAAGCAGTGCACTTCTTCGTATTATTTCCATAGTTTAGAGTTCTGGGTCACGTACAATATGTTCCAAAACGAATCTTTACTTTAGTGTTAAGAACTGTAATACCAAGTTCTGGACACCAATAAATATTTATTTTTTTATTTTTACTGTACTAAACCAATTACATGTTTCTTGAGTAATAATAAAAATCTGGTGAGACCAAAATAAACGTACAGGGAATAAAATATTGATATGAAAAATAAGAAAATTTGTGTGCAAACATTTCGTTTAAAAAAATAAAATAAAATAATAACATAGTAGTTAAACCCGTTGAGAAAATTAATGTTAAAAGAAATGTTGGATTTCCAAAGTTACTGATATTACAGTTAGTTACATTATCACCTATTTTCGTTTCCACATATATTTAAATATAATATATTACATACATAAAATCTAACTTTCCTCGAATTATATTTTTCGAATATCGTGATTATTGAAAAATATTGATGGCGAATGTAACGTGCATGGTAGAGATGCAAGCAAAATTTTGGTACAGAAGTCTGAAGAGAAGACATCACTCAGGGCACAAAGGAATAAATATGAGGATAATATTAAAATGTGTCTTCAGGAAATACGGTTTGAGGGTGTAAATTAGATTCATTTGGATCAAGATAGTGGCCGGTAGCAGACTCCTGACAACATGATAGCGAAACATTTAAGGAATTTCTTGAGTAACTTAGCGTGCTCTTAGGTTCTGAAGAAGGACTCTAAACATCGAATTAGTTCCTTAATTGAACTGTCAGACTTTACCGTTTCATTGTTATTATACACGATACTTTGATCGTAAGCGCGTGTCCTTCCTAACATACCTTGTATGTAATGTTTCCCATAACAATATCTGAATTATATTCGTAGTAATTTTAATTTTATTTATAAATCTGTACCATCATTTTTCTGTACTTTGTTAATGTAATATATTTCCCAAATTACTATAACTATTAGCGGCAGTTATAAATGTATATGATGTTTCGCATCGTCCTCATCTGCTGTCCAGGATATTTTATTTTACAATAACATTTCAATATTATTTAATCCTATAGCTACATATTCCTTTAGTTCCACCAAACAAAGCATTCGTCATAAATTACACGAAGTTTTAACTACGGCATTTTAGTCAAGATTTAACGTTGTTTCGGAGGTGTTTTCTGTTTCCATCATCAGGACGATGTTACGTAATGCGAAAATCAGTGTTGGTCAACAGAAGAAAATCACAAATTACCATATCTATTCATCTTTTTATCTTCAATAGAAGTAAGAAATTGATACTAACCACGAAAACAAAAGTATAAACATCACAAATAGTATGTATGATTTAAAGCTGACGGAGGCAGTATGACCTCTGAAACGTTGGTAAATATCTACCAGACTACACAGCGCAACAACCCAGAAGACGGAAATCTTCATCACTAATAGTAGTTAATATTAGAGCTAACTTCTGTTTTAATAAATATCATTCCTCTGGATGACTTGATGTCACAGAGCGAAGGAAAAGGAACGCAGCAACACTCGAAATGAAATATGTGAAATCCCCTTCTTCATGTAAAGAAAAAAGTTGTAAAAGAAGCTCTAGGGGCCAATATGGGCTGCGTTTTCCAACAGATAAGAGCAGAATGTCAGAAAAGAGAGAGAGAGTTGGGAGGGGGGGGGGGGGGAAAATGGCGAACTGTAACAGACGGCCATTTTATCTTGTGCATTTGACTGGTATTATAAAATGGAGGAGGCAGCGTGGACAGAGAAGCAAGAAGAATTCAGAAAGAGAAACGATAAGAATAAACAGTTTAAAAGTTACTGCCACACTACTCCTGAAGTAACCACGCTAATGTGTGGAGAAAACTTTCGGATCCTTATTATTCATAACAACCTAGCAGCAACAATGTCAATATAAAGAATTAAAATTATATGAATGCTTAACATTATTAAAAATTCTACTCTCCTGTAAGCTGTGATATCATAAGACGACTTTTAGTTATATTCAACTCTTTGCTTTAGTGTGCTAACTCAACAACCACAGGGGCCAATTTCAGAGTAAACACAAAGATAAAACAAATAAAAATTACACAAAGAACAAGAAAAATAAAAACAAAACTAAACATAAAAAGCCATAATTAATCTAAATACCTCCTCGTACGAGTAAATGTCCTGAAAAAACAACAACAATGTTTTGCCAAGAAATGTTCAAAAATCTACATACGTCATTTGCAACAAGGACGTTCCTAACCTTAAAAACGCACTGACGACGCTGAAATTAGAAAATTCTCTTATTTGCCTTGTTGGTACACGAATACCAACAACGTACCTGATGGAATGACAATTTATTTCGCTCTTTAAAACACAAACAAGTAATAAAACATAAAAATGTCATCTGGAATGAATTATTCTAAAATCTAAACAACTTAAAATTAAACCATAATTACTAACAATTCGTGTCTCGCAATGCATTTCATAGTCAGTGTAATGAAACTGGGTTAATAAAACGGAATGAAGGAGAAGTATGAAAGAAAAGAAGTGTGGAGAAAAGGAAGCAAATAATGACGAAAACTTAATCGGTTTTAATGTGAGAAATATCCTGAACGTTGGGGGGGGGGGGGGGGATGGCCATAAATTCTGGGATGATGTCTTCTTTCACTGCTGCACCTCTAGAACCAATTTCCCCAGCCAAAAGTCACGGCCTTCTAAATCCCTCCCCATCAGACTACTGCTGTCACTCTTTTCAAACTTGATTCGAGTTCTCAAGCATTCACTTTGATATCCATTTACAAATACGTATCGATATATTGTGATCTCGATATTCGTGAAAAATGGTAGATTGATAAACTAATGACATGATGATGGCTGCCTTCTAAGTTGTATGGCCGTGAAGTGTAGTAGAAGTTTACATACGTTTTTCGGAGGCGGTTTAAGCCTCCATCATCAGGGCGTTAAATTGGTTTGAGATAAGGAAACCCGTCGGACAATAAGGGACATTGGCCGGTCCAATGGTGTAGAAGATTATGACTGAGTAAGAATATCACACCAATTATTGATTTATTTTAAAATGCATATCGAAGTGTTCCAGGTCTGTATTAATGTTATGATAAGAAATAAAATCAGCTAAAATCGGAAAATGATTCCTACTGTTCGCATCGCCAGTAATAATTTGTGTCCTGTCTAAATATTAAAATGTGCAATACTAAAATTCTGCCTGTTATTTTATATGGGCGTAAAATGTAACATGTATCATGCAGATAACAAACACAGATTGACGATATTTAAAAACAGAGAGTTGTAGATTAAGAAGTGTGAAGTAAAAGGAGAATGGAGAATACTTGCAAGATGAAGTGTATCGTAATTTGTAGCTACTATTCACACATCCCAAGAACACTAATGTTAAAAAAAACTGCCACTGCTTAAAATTTGTAATGCATATAACAAATATTCCAGTGAAATGACCAAAACTTAATTCTTGTCCAATACTTGAAGTTATGAAAATCTATATTTATGTCTTAAAACTCGTCAAAGTGTCGGATAATCTATGTTTAAGGCACTATTATTAGTTGATATAACAAAGCATATTCTTAGATTACTTTATACGTGTTGTATTGACATGCATGTATTATTTATCTTTTTATGTAAAGCTATGCGCCATATAGGCGATCCGGGGGAGAGGAGATATGGCTCCTACTCATTCTGTACCTCAATACTAGATGGGGTGAGTGGTCAGCAGCACGCCCCGGCGGACTTTACCCCTGAAAAAACACCCCGGTATTAGACTGTGTGGGCCCCAGACGCATAGGTTAGAAGAAAAATAATCACCTATGGCGAGGATCAAACCCCAATCGTCAAGCCTCTATATTGACTGAGGTAAGTCGACTCATTCTCTGTACAGTATATTATGTAAGTCTCATTTTAGAACTAAAGGGAACAAAGTATGCGGTGTTATCTATAAATTAGAATAAATTTAGCTTCTAGTCACACCTGTTCTGCTGTCATAAAATATCGGTCACTGCTAAAGCATACAAACATGAAGAAATACACAACGAGAATGACTTTTAAACATAAATATACTGATTATTCAATTTATTCCAGACGACACAATTTCTAAGAATGAAAAACGAAGAAATTACCAATGTCTCCCACAGAGGTCGAACCATTTGCCACCAATTTAACCTTTCTCTCTTGACCTCTCATGCTGGGACCAGTGGAACAAGGAGAAATTAACATTGTCAGTGACGTAACACGACGTACATATAGCCTATATTCGTTGATATTCAGCGCGTTGTGTCTGACTTCATACCGTGCAAGATGAGCAAACAGTTTGTGATCTGCTACGACGAAATTTCCACCGAGAATTGTGTGCAGTATGTAGCTGGAAATTTTAACGACGTACTGAAGGTGAGAAACTACACAAGGAAATATTTTAATAGATAGTTTGAGGTCACATTGTACATCTACAACCATCTATTCTGTTACGTGCACAGTGAGAAAAAATACACCGCACACTGAATCAGAAATGTTACATTTTCTTTTGTTATCACAGTAAATATAATATAATTTTATATATCACCAAAGACATTTCGAAGTGGTAACTATTAGTAGCAGTCAACAAACAGTGAAATGTTTCAAGGTCACTCCCCCTGACCGCGCGGCACTAAATTAACAGAACAATGTTGCTAGATTCGCTACGGTGCGCGTTCTGAGCCGTCTTTACTCATTGGGCTTCTGCTGTTTATATTGCAACGTTGTTCGATGTTACTGTGATCTTAGAGCATGAAATTTTGGCGACGGCTGATTTTTTCAATCATCAGTCAAACCGTGCGTCAATTTCCTCTATTTAGATATATAATCGCTCCTCAGTTGTTTCAGCATTAGGGTGCCAGCGGGTACTAAGACCCTGTATTAAATATAACCCAATGTCGATTATGCTGATAACTTGTGTATTTTGCACATGAGTGCGCCACATCTCAATCATCTCACTCAGTTGCTTTCTAGTGATACGTGGAGATACTGCGTATTTACATTGACGGTGAGTTGAAGACGCTAAGATGTTTGTTTCAATTCTCATTCTTTGTTATAAACATAAATCAACTGTAAGTATTTTTATGTTCATGTTACATATTCTGAAAATACCGACCACCTAACTAATTCCCTGGTAGCAGAACCCGCAGGTTCAACACCGACAACACCAAATCCCTCCACCTACCACGATCCTGAGCCAACTCCATCCTCACAGCCCAACTCCCTAAGATCCATCTTGTCCTCTCATCTACTTTTTGGTCTGCTCAGTGGTCGTTTTCCAGAGGGATTCCCTACCGAAATCCTGTATGCACCCCTTGCTTCCCCCACGCGTGCTACATGTCCAGCGAAAGTACCGAATACAGCAAAAAAATAATATCGTTCTTATATATAAAAATAAGCCTTAAAGGTTAAGTTTGTTTTGTGAACTGTTACCACAAAATTAGCAATGATGTCAGACCTGACCATTTATATGCCACACTAGCTACTAATGCCGAAGTTTACGACTCTATAATCCAGATTGATATTGTTTGTATTATTTTGAGTTAATTCCTGAAAGAGCACATATGGACGTAAATTATTCATTAAAACATAAATTTTCTAAGTGTGCCTTTCTTTCATCCATGATATATATGCATCAGTGAGTAGTGGTTCTATCCAAGTACAAACTGTATTTGTAATTTTAAAATGTCGTTTATTATTGTAATTATTATAATTATTATTTCTATGGATAGGAAACTTGTTCTGTTACCCCAAGAAAAAGAACACAGATAAGGGGTTTTAGAACAGATAAATTGTACATTTTGGGGCTTTAAAATCTGTAGCCTTCAGTAAATATTCCTATATTACTATATTCGATTTATGTCAGTGACAAGATTTATTTTCTTCGCAACCACGTCCATATCATTTTGGACATAAGACAGCCGGAGCGTGTACCTACTCACTACCTCTACTTAATACTGAAGCTAACAATACATGGAGCTTTACCTCCACTCCTCCGTACGCCCCATGGTGTGATGCTTAGAAACAAAAGGAGAGAATTCAACTCTTCGTTTTACCCGAAAATTCCTTAAAATTGGCGAGGATTCTATAACTTATATACAGTTGAGAGAACGTCGTTAAACAAAATCGCATGTGTGTTAGACGGAATAATAGATATTTCACTTCACATGCATCCTTGTCATAAAACATAATCTATTCATTCTCTTAGAATTGGGTGTGGGGTAGTCTAAGATATAATGCGAGTAACGGAAAAGAATGATCGACTACGTAAGAAAAGAATTGAGAAATCGATTAGTGAAGGCTGTCACCGTTCCAATTCGTATTAAGATAAATTGATAGGATTACAAGTCAACTAGACATGAAAACTAAATTATACAACATAAGCGTAACATCTTTCACAACATATTTCTCATACGCGTGCCATAATAATGACATAAAGCATTACAAAAGATAATCTGTACAGAGACCACCTATTGTGGTGGTTTTAAATAGCGTACACCGTATCTAAACGCCAAGCGTGCTCCACTGGAACGATGCATGTCGTGACGAACTGATCGCGCGCGTGCGCATTACGCATCACGTGACAAACGAAGCTTGTGCAACTAAATTCGTTCCAGACGGAAGATACCTTGATAGTGGGTCGCATCCAGGGCACAATGCAATTCTAAAGCGTTAAAATGTGAACATACAGAAACATCACAATTCACAAACTTCGTCTGAGATGATGATTCAAGTCACTTGCAATACTGATGTTGCAAAATCCAATAAATCAGTGGCTGTAAGATTTGAGGTTTTCACAGCGGTGAGTATGAAGATTTCCGTCTTCTGAGTTGTTGCGCTGTGTAGTCTGGTCGATGTTAACCAACGTTTCAGAGGTCATACTGCCTCCGTCATCAGGGCAACAACCCAGAAGACAGAAATCTTCAAATTACTGGCTGTTGTTGAGATGTAGCTCCCCTCCGCAGTCAGTTATAAATTGACAGAAGTTTAACAGTAGAATGTTGCTTATATGTTCAACATGTTAGTTTTTGTTCATGCGGTGTGTATAATAATGCAATAATTCGTAATAAATACTGATAATTTCATGTTTTTCGACGTCTTCTGATAAATGAATCTGATACTACAGACCAGTATCATGAAGTAAACGTTAAATACGAATTAGTGTTCTATATCAAGTAGCATGATTCTGTGGCTAGTTTTATTTCATAACGACGATTTGTTAACAACATCGTGTATAGTGTTCATTAACTTATTTTTTTGGCTTATTTGGCTTATTAGCTCAGGCTATATGAAGACTTCAGAGCTACAACAGAAGAATTCAAATTGATTTAAGGTTGTATAAAATGAGGTTCCTCGTTTATACGTAATCAAAAATATAGGATAACAGGAAACGTTATCAGCTGTAGGAAACATGTGATTTACAGAATTAATTCAAAATACGCACATAAAGTACTCTTTCTATCCTGACGTATACAAATTTAGATCTCATTAACTTACATAGAATAAAATGAGGGGATAATTTATGAAAACTAAATTCGAAATACTGCTTAATTCTGAGTTCTTATTCCGACATTTGTCTGGATGGACTGAGGAAAACAGCAAAAATCTGTCAGGATATACAGTATCTGTGCCGAAATTTGAAACCTGAGCCTCCCGAATATGAAATCATAGTGCTAACCAATCGGTCATGAGGGGTATTTACATACACATGTATATACGTACACAGTGAACACGAGGGTGATATAAATAATTATTACCAGAAATTATTAGAGAAATTTGGCATTTTTAAGATACTATCTGAGCGACCACAAAAACGTGATTTCCAAAATCTAAGAACTTTAAATAAAGACTATATTCAATCGGGATCTTTAGAACTCTAAATAAATTCAGAATTATACTTCATACTCAGAATAATTTCGTTGTAAAAAATAATTTCTCAAAACACATTTTCCGTGGTAACCCAATGACCACATTTGAAGTACCCGTTACCAAATCGCATTCTTCAGGGCCATGAAAGGACTTCATTCCCCTTACCACGCGGGTTTAGTCACCAGTACAGCGCTGGTAGCTTTGCTACACTCCGAATTCTGAGCTTTCTTCATTAGCCCGTGCTTTATTGTTTGTGTTGCTACGTTTTACAGTTTTACTGTGACCTTAAAGCATGCAATTTGGTGGCGGCTGCTATAATGTTTCGTTAAAGTGAGCCGAAGATAGGAAGGTTTAACAATGGACACACAGACATACACAAATACATGTATGTGATGACCTTGTGTCTTTCTGAAACACCATGGAACTAATGCAGGAATATATGTGGTGTATATAAATAAAACAGTGGCAGTAAAGTGCGGGGGGGGTTCCACTTCACCCCTCTTCAGAACGCAAAGTTTTGTCAGAACTGTGTGAGAGTAGACTTGGCAGCTACCCCTAACAAGGACATCACATTTAATCCAAAAGCAGTACGAGAATTAAATAATAGAACCCCATCTTTCTGCAACCCCACTGCTGCTTTCTATATGCTATCTGACTACGTCAGCCCCTATTCTGACATTCGAACTAGCTGTAACTAATTGATTCATTTACATAAATACAAACTACACTCAACAAAGACCACTTTGTATATGGGTCAACTTAGGGAACACAGTAATGAATTAACTTCATCATAACTGAACGTAAATTAAGTTATTCAAAAAATAATGTAAAATAGTTTAAGTATTCTTTGTGGATTGATTAATTCATATGTTATTTAACGACACAGACACAATGTTTGAAGCTTATCATATTAAACATTAGATGTAATATTTAATACTCTCACAATAACATTCACTTGCATTTTTCCATATAATTTTGACGTAAATTTTAACAGACACCACGAAAATTAGTTATATTGAGAATGTTGCAATATTTAAACAAATTGTTTAATAGACAAGATAAAATGATACATAAATGGTTCTTTAATAATAACTAAAGAAGCCAAAAGTAACTACGAAATAGCACGCAATTTTAATAAACTGGGACTGATGTGCTTGAACAGACTGAATCGGTTTCGAAATTAAACAGACAAAGATTGGTTTGACTATTGCAAACAGGGTGAAAAATAAAATGTAGGGTCCACTGGTTACAGAATATACATCTATAAACTTTAAAGAAAGGTAAAACTACTGTGGGAAGTAGGAAAATTTTGAAAATTAACATAACAGGCAACATATACAAAAAAGAAAAAAATTGTCTTAGCTTGACTCCGTGGAAGAGATTCCTCATTGAAAAGCTAATATTCGCTCAACTAGTCAAGAAATTTCTATCTTTAATAAATCCCAAAGTGTGATAACATGTTCACAAAATAACCCGCCCCCCCGCCTATAACTTCTAAATGGTTCGAT